GTTCGGGCCGGGCCGGCAAAACTTTTTTAAAAAAAATTTCGGACCGGGCTTGAAAAATTAGGCCCGATGCAGATCACTAACAAATATATTCATGATAAAAAAAAATTAAATAAATGAATGCGTTACAATTTTTTTGACGGTCTTTCTGTTTTTCCCTTTTTTAATTGTCAACTAATATATTTTCTTATATGTAATTTACCAGAAGAAAATGTACATAGTTAATAAAGTGACAGATAGAAACGAGAACTTTTTACCTTTTCTTCAATTCCCAAAATAATGTTAATGATCATTTCTTAAAATATAGATTTCCTTCACTCTGTGAGAACCGTAGCACATTAGCAGCAATAATTCTCCCTTAATTTAAACTTTATTAGCCTCATATCAATCTGCAAAAATCTGTTGGTAGGTTAATTACCCATTTGAAAAACCTGTAGGATCAACTACATGCAGATGCTTATTCAAATGATTGTATAGAAAAAAAAACTGATACTTTTAAATTCTTCGCAAAATGCGCTTTATCTTAATAAAATTTTTTTCAAAAAATAATTTAATTGATATTTTGTTTACTGATATAAATAAAAATATATAACACCTTTGCCATCAAGCGCTTCTCTGGAGTGCTTTAATAAAGCTAAATATATTCCTTATGAACGCGGATTTTGAATGATAATAATTTATAAATTATTTCATTATTTACAGGCTAATTTTGATAATAAATAAATATTGTTATTACTATAAATCTAATATATTTTTATATTGGTTAATTATGCATAGAGCAAATTTCCTTCAGAAATTTATAAAAAAAGAAAATGATTGTGATCGCGATCCTTTTTTTTAAAAGGTTGATCCTGGATTTCGATCCCTTCTTTTCAAAAGATCACGATTCGATCCTTTTAAAAGGATCGATTAATAAGCCTGAATTTACTATTCTTGTAATATTTAAAATTTTATTAGCCTCATCACTATCACAATTTATATCAATATTTTCATTAACCTGAATTTTGTAAATTACGGGCTAGTGATGACAATTCCTGTCGTAATTTGTCACTGAATATTTTCTAATTGTGAAACTTTCTTTAATGTCAGAAATGCCTTAGATATTTATTTCATCAAAATTCTTCAGATACAAATATTGCACATTCGCTATAATCTCCTAATTTACCAAAAATCTTATGGTTGTTAAATTAAACTATTTACAATTTGATCAATTGTAGGACGAAATGCTTTAAAATATAGATTAACCAAATCTTAGAGAGTTCATCTTTGTATTCATCACTATACATCTTCTTTGTTAGACTTATTCGATAAATAGGAATATTTTCATTTCGATTTGTAGCCATTTTTAACTTAATTTCGAATGGAGGTGAAGGTTATAAAAAATACAGAAGACTTGACATCTTCAATCATTTTTCAAGCTGATAAATCTTCAAATTTTTAGTTTTAATTATTTTAAAAAATTCAAAACCGATTTAACGTTAGATTCTCAATAAAAGATTTAGCCAATGATAAGGTAGGATATAGCCTTTTAGAGATAGGGAGTAAGTTCTCTTCATCATAAAATTATCTAAGGTTTTTTTCACGTGTCCACCATCTTATTTTCCTATTTTTTCGAAGACTTGGCAGCCTACCTTAATCAGATAAATTATTTTTGCCAAGATCAGCTTCAATCTCGTACTATATATTTGCAAACTAATAGTTTGTTGCCATTTTATAATATTAAATTCCTAATTTTAACTAGAACATCATTAATAACTTAATAATTTGCCTTTGACATAAAATTATTAGAGAATTCTTCCCTTGAATTTTGATTTATTGGGAAGTTTCAGATTTCTTTTTTCACTTCTTCTCCTGAAAATAACCTTTTCCAAATGGTGTCTAAGTATTTTATCCTTTTTTGATATGATTTGTATCATCTCAAGGAAATTCCCATGTTTTAAATTTTCAATTTCAAAATTGATAAGTGATAGTTTAATTCTCTGTAGAATTTTTTGCTTAACAACTGTATTATCTCAAACATGCACATTATTGCATTTATTATTTTAAAACTAATTAGTTTCTATTTAGATAATAAATTATAAAATAATTTATAAAAATATAAATCAAGCTTGACTTTTATAAAAGGACACGCATCTTTTTTTTTATAAAATAGCATTATCTAAATGATAACCTTAAAAAATGTATTAATATGATCTAAATGCTAAAAAATGAAAAATAAATATTCTATATTTTTTTTTCTGTTCGGCCTCTTTTTTTCATTTTTTTACTGATCGGCCTCAAAAATCGACCTCGCGGCCTCATGGGCAAAATGCACACTTGGTCTTATGGCCAGTCCATTCCTGTATATAATATAACTATGCTATTAATAAATTATATTAGATTGTTGAATTTCATAGGCTTGTTAAATAATCATGATCATTATAATAGATCAAAAATAAAAAAAATTAATTATTATATACGTAGATATTAAATAGTTAATATATTTTCGATTTATTTCTTTATAATGTGATTATTTGAAATTTGCTATTATTTTTATGTTTTTCTCAAGGGTTTTATATTTTAATAGTTGAACCAAATTTAAATTATTATAAATTTATATAATTTATAAATAATTAAATTTTATATGATTTTTATAAATAAAAGTTTTTTTATTCAGTTAAAAACTATTAATAACATGGCTATTATATTGTGTTAAAAAATATATGGTATTTATCATTTATATTTAAAAAATAATTAATTAATAGTTTTGAATGAACGTGAACGTATTCCTTTTGTTGAAGGAGTACGTGAAACGCTATCCTTTTTTTGAAGGTGAACGTGAACACGTTTGATTTTTATCAATGAACGTTGAACGTGTTCATTTCTTTAGAAATGTTTATATCAGTAATGATCAAAGATCGAGCTGTGTTAAAACCAGGGATGCGAACTCGGCAAAATTTTTGCCCGAGTTCGGTTCGATTCAGGGAAATATTTTTGAACCCGGGTTTGGTTCCGGGTTCAACTCGAGTTTAAGAATTTTTGAATTGAAAAAAAAAATTCTATATAATTTTTTATTTTATTTATAGCAAAATATATTTAAAATACAAAGCATAATCATTTATCAATTTTAAAAATTTAATTTAGACCTATGTTTTTCTTTAAATTAACAATATCCAATATAATAATTTTTACTTTGACTCGTTCACTTTCATTTTCCTCTAATTATTTGACTTGAGAATAAGTTAAAAATTAAATTAATAATAAATGGCGTAAATGAATTAAATTATTCAAAATTTATTAACACTCCAATAGGAATCTTTGAGAATAAATTTAAAAATGGAGTAAATGAATTAAGTTGTTTAAAATTTATTAACACTTCACTTAATTGGAAAATTTGAAAATATTATAAAATCTCAATTAAATTAGAATATTTGTATTTACAATTATACAAATATCATATATAATTTTAAACAATACCCTGAACCCGGGTTCAAATAAAATTCCAGGGTTCGTGGGGTCTTTAAAATTTTATAAACAGGGTTCAGGTTTGGTTCGGGTTCAGATTTTTTTCCAAAAACCGGGTTTTCATCTCCGGGTTCGGGTTCGAATTCCTGGTTAAAACCAATAAAAATAAAGCATTAACAATATAATTTTGATTGACCATGTATTTTTAAATGCCTTAAAAACACATCCAAGGTTAATGGTTTTTTCATGTCCTAATAAAAACAAGTTAACTTTTCTTATATCACTACTCGAACTTTATGATTTAATAATTCTCTTTAATGATAAAAAAAATTTAAGTCACAACTCGATGTGATGACCAAAACTGACAAAATATTTGGAAAACATGGAATATATTTTTGTATGGGTATTTAAATTTGACAAAATTTAGGAGACTACTGTTCAAACCACTATCAGTTTAAAAAAATATTCATTCATGTCCTGAAATACCTAATAGCGCCAACCGCACCCCATATTGTAATGAGGAATAAGGAAAATATAAATGAAGGTGAAAATAATCAAGGCGCCAAGATTCAGAATAAGGAAAATGAGCTTGAGCTTTCACAAACAAAAAGGATAGATTAAGTTTTTTAGTTATTCATATTTCAAATATTTTTTAGAACCAACTGATTTAAATCAGGTATTACCAAATAGAACAACATCACTCAAAAAGACTGCTGTAATATTGGAAAATTTTCTTTAAAGTTTTATAAATAGGAATGCGTATAATTAATTGACGCTGATGCAGTTTTTTGCTTTCCTTGTAAGATCTTAGCTTAAACAATGAGGAATCAACTTATACCAAAACGGGTTTTACCAACTGGGAAAAGCTCCTGAAAAAAAGGCCTTGAAAAACATGATAAGAAAAATAAAGAGAAGAGGGTCCTAAGGCCAAATGATTTTCCAATTTTTTTATAGTAATTTGAACATCATTTTTTAATCAAAATGACATTTTAATTTACTAGACGTAAATAAATAAAAACCTTTTTTGGAAAATAATATTACTGAAGAAGGATTAGCAAATGAAATCAAGGTTGTTAAAAAATTATTTGTTAAAAGTTTAACTAAAATAATTTTCAAATGGGGGGGGGGGCAGGTGCAAAATTTTGTACCCCCCCCTTCCCAAGCCTAAAATCGGGCCTGCCCTCACACCCTAATTGTTTAATGTATCAATGTAAAGTAAAAACTTTTGAAAACACTTCATTTTAGTTACCCATAATATTTTTAATGTGGAAGTAGGTGTGAAGGAAGAGGGTTACTCTCCCCTTTGTATAGGTGACACTGTCTTCATTTATAAATGATATCATGAACGTTCTTCATTTAGAAACCTTTTCTATATCTACCAATCTATGTAAAAACAAATAATATAAGGATATGTCAGATTACATAAATGTATTAAAAGAGTTTTATTTATTAATAATTATATATTAAATTGATGTAAAAAATATAAAATATAAATCATCCTGATTTATACAATACATCGTGACAAAACATTTATAACCACGATAAATTTAAATTAGCGTGTAAATCTCAAAGTATAAAGATGTTTTTTTGATTAATAGGTTTAAACATTATCCATTTTGTGTAAGATTTGTCTTCCCTTTAAACTAATTTTAGGACAATTTTTCACATCAACATTCAATAAATTAGGACAAAAATGGTATATGGACACAATATTACCATTATCCTGTATCAAAAATGCATTGTCCGTAATGTTGTAATTACCTCTTAATTTTAAGGTTACTAATTGTTTAGCTAATGGAGTTAATTTTTTGGTATTAAATGAAAGTGAAGAATTATGACCCATTAATATTAAGTTTAATACACCGACATTGGTTATCTTTAAACAATAACTGAAATCTATTCTAATCAAGTGTGGCAAGATCCAGCTTTGTCCTATCAATTTCAATGTGACATCACTTATATGCGTTCCAGTCAAGTTGATATCTCGAAGAGCGTAGAGGGTAATATTAGGCATTATGGAAAGCTTTAAACCTGAATGCGAATGGCTAGCATCATATTTCTCTATGTCTTCATCGTTTAAATTATAGTTATCACAATTAACGATACATTTATCGATGTCGCACCCATCCTTTGGAAAAGTTAAAATTTTCCATAAAGAATGATCATCCAAATCTTCTATGTAAGATAATTGTAAGCTATTCATGTTCCAGGTGTAACCCTTAGCAAAAATATTACCAATTTCGTAAGCAGAACAAGTACATCTAACCAGATGAAGGCTGGTCAAATCGGGGAGCCATTTTAACAAAAATTCGATGTTGCTAGGTTTAAGATGCAAGTTTTCAAATGTTAAAGATTCTGGTCGCTTTTTAATGAGACCTTTGAGTAAATCAAAATTAATTTTGAAATTTGCGTTTATATCGTTGCGTATATGTTTCCAAAAAAGAGGGTCCAATCCCCAAATATTCCAAGCTTTACAACATGAGATGCACTTAGTTAAATCAATTGGCTGCAAACAGCTGAAAACTTTAATCCATATAGCTTTTTCTAATATATATTTAGTTCGAGAGCCGATATTGTATGACGGATCACATATGTGGCTACGTTTTGCAACGTTTATGGCAAAATTACGAGATTGAGTAGCCTTAAAATTAATAATAACAAATTAGTAAAAAAAAGAAATATCTTCGGCGGTTGGTTCGACTTATTACTAAACAACTGGCTGTTTAGCCAGCTAAATGGCTTCGCCAAAACCGCCTAAAAGAGGAAATGAGAAAAAAATAAGAAGAATAACAATGCCACCAACCCCTTAAAACAAGCCAAAATAAGGTTACTATTCAAAAGCTGTTTGCCGTCTGGCTTAATAATTTAATCATAACATTAGTTAATAAATTTAATTTAAAATTTATTTTGATAAATTTACAATGACATTCGTAGCAGGCTCTTTGTTAATCGCATAGCTATGGGACTGAGAATTGACAACATTCCCGATCGATACATTCCCATTATGATAGGCGATGGCTCCATCATTTACAATGTCAATAAAACTATCATCTTTGATACCGTTTGTAATTCCCTTATTGTTATTTTTTATGCACATGGGAAAATTTCTAGGCTTGGATCTAGATATGACTTGATCCGATATGACTCTATGGCGATTTATTGAACTCATGTCTTCAAATAAATGATCGTTATCTGGCAAATGATCGGGGGAAGAAGGAGAAGAAATGAAGGATGATAGATCACTATGGGTAATAGGACTATGAATTATTTGAAGCAAATTTGTTTCTTTGTTATCATTATTAGAAATGGGTGTAGTAGTAGGGAGAAAAAAGTTGTCATATACAGATGACATTGTCTGTACTAAACTTAATGGGTTATCCACGATCGATTCTAGAAACGTGGAATCTATAAATGCCTTCGAAATAATAGTATCTTTATCGCGGATAGTTACTTTTTCCTTCTCTTGTTTAATAACGATACTCACCGCTTCTTCCAATTGTCTAACTTGTTCCATAAGATTCTTCTCGTTGTTTTCCAGCTGTCTATAACCAATTCCGTCCTCTATTTTAACCTGGCTTTGAACTTTTCCATGGAGATGAAATGAATAGTGTCTCAGTAATTGGTCCAAATGTCTGTAAAGGCATGGGTCAACTTGGGCCAGTTCAATATTATTTATATTATTATTAAAAGAATCTGTTAATTTTAAATTATTTTCAAAAGAACAAGTTGGAGGACCCGGTCGATGTTTTTTACGAATGACTATTTTGGTATCCCGGCTTTCGTCCACACATTCGTACTCAACATTGTGTAGCATGTCGTGTCTCGCTTTTTTGATACCGTATCTTTTGCTACCGCCGCTTTTATCATCATTAGACGAAGATGACGATAGGCAAGATGGGGTAAGGTTTTCCAAGTCGTATGAAGAATTAGTATTTGGAGCGGGATAAAGATCGATATCATTATTACTAATAAGTGGAAAGGAGGAAAGCCGATTATGTTTATCGAATGTCTTGAGTAGTAAATTAGGAGCCAGCATCTCCCCCTCCTTATTATGTTTAGATTTTCGACCTCTTTTCTTTTTAACGGGTAAGTTTCCAATGTTATGTCCTAGGTTGGTGTCGGCAATATGATTATTTAGATCATTTGGTTTGATTAAATGGTTATCGAGATTGCTGGTCATGTTGGGTAAACGTACAAAGGTCTCTGCGACATTTGACGCGACAGAATCTATCGATATTTGGGAATTCATATTTAAAGTCGGTATAAATTCATAAGAATTTTGGTCGTCGCCGGTATAAGTGGTTAGTAAGGAATCTCGCGTGCTCTCATTGAACGTAATACTCATATCATCATTCATTATGTTTAGCTTAACCGAGCACATTTCGTCCGTTTGGTTAGAGGGCCGATTTTTAAAACAAGGAAGTATTTGGTAGGCCGTGCTAAGCATCTGCAATCTCTTTGGCAAACTTTCGAGTATTGAAGATACCTTTCATATTACATAAGATATTATTACTAACATTTAGTTATCGATTATGAAAAATTATTTAGTTTGACAACTCATGAAGGAAGAAGAAAAAAAGATGCTTCGATCCCTAAAATTAAAAGCAATAAAGTAATGATGGTGTTTATCTAAAACAAAAGCATATTTATAAATATAATAAAAACGCCAAAAATTAAATTTGAATTAAAGTCATAAAATGTTTTAACCTCTCTAGCACTGCCTTTAGATAATATGGTCAAGCATTTAGGACATTCCCACCAACAAGCATTATCCTCGTTAACGATTCCTAATTCTAAAAAGTTAATATCTTCGGGTTCTTTAATTTCATTATTTTCAAATAGTAGGTTTGATTCCTCTAAATTTTTATTACCAGTATCAGTTCCTGACAAATTTCCTAAAATGTCAATGGAAACCTCATCAAAGTCCATTATTTCTCCGTTGTTTAACAAATTTTCTATATTATTGGTTGTTGGTATTATTGTATTTTCGGGTTGAGGGTTTGGGGAAATGAGTGATTCCGTGATCATTTCAATCTGGGCAAAAAAAATTTAAGTATACTATATTTTTTAAAAAAATTATAATTCCCAAATTAGTGAATATTCACGAGAAAATATCAATAATATCTCTATAAATAAAACTAAATAATTAAAATGAGTTAAAAATTTTATTTAATAAAAATTAAAATAAGCTTATTTATTATAGATAAAAAAATATAAATATAAAAAATTATATTTTACTGTATGGCAATAAACCTTAGTTTAAAATAAAATTTGATTGAAATCTAAAATCAAAGTGCTTATACTATATGTTATATCTATATCTAACAAAATATAAGCAAAATATTTTAATTAAAAAGTCATATAAATACGATATTGCTAATAAGAATTGCTACCGCCCCCCCCCTAACAAATTTTAAAGTTTCAGTATATAATATTTTAAACAAATAACCACCATCCCCTTCCAAAAAAAACAAGTATAAGTAACTTTCCAAAATTTTAATTTTTTGGGTTGGTTTGTTGTAGATATTAAAATATAAATTTTTTCTTAACAATTCTATTTCTCTTCAATCGAAAATCATTTATTTCATTAAAAACATTATATTTATATTATTTTATTCCAAAAAAATTAATATTTTATTAAATGAAATAAGAAAACTTGTAGTGTATTTGTAAAATGTCTTGTTCTAATGATAATAGCTTAAAAAAAGACTACCTTATTCATTGAATCCATCCTCTCATTCTCCTTAACCCGCTCTTGGTCAACACCCCCATACCAAATTTCCCCTTCTTTCTTGGTCATTTTTTCATCTCCTTTTTTAGCAATGTAAGCCAATTTTTGGTCCCTGAATTGAGTCTGGCAACAGATAGGATGGGTGATCATTCGACAGTACACGCACTCGTTAATATTGAAGGGGTTGAATTGATCGTCTAATTTTCCGTCTGGGGCATCTCTGTGACCGCAAATGTAACAAGCAGCTGTGCGGGGTAGTAAAGGCTATTGGAAAAGGAAATATATAATAGAATTTCAATTTTAAAAATGCTATATTTAATTTCATGGATTTGTTTACCTTTCCTTTGTTCTTATTTATAACCTTTTTTAACCCAGTGTCCTTCAAAATAATATTGGCTTTTCAAAAACATAGTGTCTTATCCTGTTTGTCTAGATTGGAAAATGGGGCATTCATTTTTTGGGAAAAAAATACGATTATACTAAGTTACTAAAATATAAATAGAATTATGACAAATAATTCTCTTATATATTCCATAAAAAGTTTAATGGCATAGAGGCTGAAATTATTGATCCGCATTGAGCCTAATTTTTCAAGCCTGGCCCAAAATTTTTTTATAAAGTTTTGCCCGGCCCGGCCAGAATTTATTTAAATATAGAAATTATTTTTTATAATAACTCAAAATAAACGATATATGTTATTTGGGGTCTACTTTCTATAAATAAAATCACATATTTTTATTTTACATAAAAAATTCAACATAAAATTGATAAATTTAGATATATTTTAAAAAATTTCTAAGGCCCGACCCAACCAAGCCCGAATTTAATTCGAACATTTTTTAAAGCAATTGAATAATAGTCAAAAAAATAAGAATCAAAACCATCATGCAATTTCGACTGATGCATGGTTTTTTAAGAGTGCCCGGTCCTCCGAATTTTGTCATCCCTCGACAGAAAACGCATTCGGTACAATCTTCGCGTATACAGGCTTCACATTGCTGGCACCTTATCCTACGTTTCCTCATTATACTCTTGTAAAGGTCTTCTTTACTGGTGTTGGAAATCGTGCCCGCGCTTGAGGAGAAATCGAAGGAAAATGGATCGGTGGTCAGAAATATGAGATGGGGGTTGGAGCCGAAACTGGGATTCTGATATGAGCAAAGCAAATATAAAGAGTAAATTCTATTTTATATCTATATTATAATAGAAGATTTATTAAAAATTTAATAATTTAAATTTATGATATTTTATTTGATAACATATTGGAGAAATTATTAGTAAAACTTATAAAAACGCAAATAATTACCTATTAATTTTAGTTATTAAGATCTAATTTGGTTTCTAAATATATAACAATAAAAAAAACATTTAGTATTTTTTCGTGCAACAACTATTAATAAAAAGTCATTATACTAATAACTTATGTCGAAATATTAAAAAAAACCTTGTTATTAGATTTTCTACCCTTCCCTCTCCCAGCCGTAGCGGATTTTAAAACGGCGTTGGATGATTTTAGTAACTTATCATCGTTGTAGGACAAAAAGGCCCTGTTTGAAATAGGACCGAAATCTTCCTCGTCCAATCCACTGTCGGAAAAGTAGGAATAGTTCTGTATTGAAATATCATGAATTATAAAATGATTGGGCCTGTTTAAAAAATATATGATTTTTTAAAAATATTTATTCCTATTAAAATCTAGGAGGCTTAAATTAATTATATTGGGTGTCCTGGTCGATTTTTTTTTAGCTTGGCCCTGCCCGGTCCAGATTTGTAAAGTGATATTTTTCTGCCTGTCCGGGTTTTAAAAAATTAATTTTAAAGCCCGATTAATATGAGAGTTTCGGGTTTGCAGGTTTCTGAGTATAACAAATTATTTTGTATATAAATAATATTAACTTTAAGATAGTTTTCTGGTCTGGATAAAATATGTTTACCAGTGTTTGCAGCAATTGGGTTGTCATTAAAGTGAATGGCTAATTGATTCTAAAAAAATAACTTGTGGGAAATAGATACAAAAAATATTACTTTGGCTTCCTGCAATAATTTTTCGGGTTCCAATATAAGAGTGGGTATATATTGTTTTCCATTAGGTCGAGTGATAAGGTAATTCAGAAGTGCCTTCAAAGTTGTAAATAAAATTAAAGCGATTTAATTAGTGAATATTTTTTCTGGATGTAAGGAAGTAATAAAAATCAATGTAAAAATAATGCAATTAAGTTTACCCTGAGACTATTAAGTTCCCATTTAGTCAAACTAAACATTTTTCTGTCAGGGTCGTACGAAATATCATGTTGATTTTCAAATATTGTATCTAAATATTACAATAAGAAAAACTTTTTTTTATCAATGCGTGAATATTTTAAAAACCTACAAAATATTATGATTTGATTGGTAAATTTGGATACTATAGCTGCGAATTATATAACGATTTAATAGCATAACTTACCCTATATAGTCAATGAGTCAATGATAAAAACTACGCATTATAAAAATACATCTTAAGTTGTGAGAAGAATCATTATAAATAACAGGAGCTATTAATTAAATTCTAAGAATTAAAAGATAGAAACCTAAATAAATCTGACATATTATTATATTCATTGTAAAACCTTTATCCAAATTCTTCTTGGGTATATTGATGTATGGTTTTCCGGTCAAAACCCTGATATACTTCTCCAAAACGAACCAATGAATTTCAGTGTAAAATGGGTACCTGAATTTCAATTTAACCTTTGTAAAAAAATACAAATTAATAATTTTAATATTCTCTTGTTAATCTTATTTCTTAATTTATTAGTTCCTTAATTCAATAAGTAAAATAAGTATTGTTATTATAATGATTACGTGGGTTAAATCTTCAATTTCGCTAATTTTCAGTTGTTGAGCTATGGAAAAACTATGCAGAAAATTTCCTCCAAACACCAATGACTCTTTGGGAGTAAACACGGCATGTATCCATCCTAATTGATATGAGTATATTCATATAATTTCGCTATTTTATAAGTCATTTTTCAATTTAATTTAAAGCTTGTAATATAAAATTTTCATAGGTTGTACGGCATATAATTTATATTATAGACAATCTAAATTAGAAAAAAACTAAGATATTTTTAAATATAATACGAAAATTAACCAAACAAAAAATTTTTTTAAAATTGATATCATTTCACCTCATCAACAATTTTTGAGAAACATTTTATAATATCGTCAAGTGCTTTAAAGATCCTAATATGATATATAGAAAAAATAATCTAATCGTCGATGTATAAATTTTAGTATATAATTAATTGATAAAAATGTAACTTTAAAAAAAAAGGAAGAAGTAGATTGTATTATACCGGTGGGTAGCATAAAAGTATCCCCCGCAGATAGGTAAACCCGAGAACAATTATCCACTAGGTCACCAAAAAATATTTCTCCCTGATTAGCTGAGAGCGTCCAGTTCACGTAAAGTTTGTGATTTCGTTCGGTAGGAGGTATTAGCCAAAATATCTGGGGGGAAAATGACATGATTTGGAAAAAAAATCATATAATATATTTTTTTAACATTTGTAAAATTTTAACGTGAGGTACATTCTTTTTATATAATTAAAGACTAAATGCAATAGGGCCGCTAGTCTTTATCATTTAGGGACACTTGCGTCAATTTTTACGTCTTCAAAAAAAACGTTTCACTAACATGCTGAGCAATGTTTTGTTCTTTTATAGTGACGTCATTGGTTTAGTGGAATTGTATAAGTAATTAGTGATATCAAGAGTTAAATTAAGTTCCGTTTTTATTATTATTTTAATTAAGGCCAGATTTAAATCAAAATTATTTACCTTAGCCCCGTGAAGAATGTGGTACCACACTGAAGTCCCGCCGAAATCGATATGAAAGTCGGTGTAACACCCGGCCACGCTCATTAAGACATATCTGTATTATGAAAATTTATTTAAAGATTAAATGAATGATAGTAGTAAAAAAAATTTAAGTAATTTATATTTATTTAAAAAGTAATTTTTGAGATTTAGTTCGAATAAATTTCATATCATTTACGTTCTTTCTATTTTTCTGTCTTTTCTGTTTTCTTAGCTCATTAAAAGATATCTGCTATAAAAATTATCATAAAATTTAACGATGTGCACCTTGTTGTGTTACTACCATATAATTAAATATAATTCTTTGTTTTTGTAAAAGAGGAGATAATTTGAGGTAATTAACTGTATAAAAATCAATTAAAACAACATTTTACTTCCGGACTTTGGGATATTTCATTTCGGATAAATTATTGGTAGCTACATTTTGAGCCTCTAACAAGTGAACGGGCCAAACCGAATTGACCCAATCTATATCCTTCACCTAATATTATTTTTAAAAAAATTAAATCAATCTAAAAAACATGGTAGTAGTAGCAGACGTAACACGAATTATTAGTTATTTGAAATATTTACAATATTGAAAATTATTCCTAAATATTAAAATATATTCATAATTACTCAATATGTCCCTAATTTATCATTTTTTACAAAACTTAATTACAATTTCTCTCTTTTTTGATTATTTTTAGATCATGATTTTATTTTTAATAAATTTGATTTGCAGGACCGTACACGGGAAGTATTTGGGAGGCCGTTCCTCGTATAAATTTCTGAATCCCTCTAAAAAAGATGAATATTAACTAAGTGAACATTCTTGATTACGGGATCTTATTAATATTGTGACAAATTTTATCTGTAAAAATTATATTTATATAAAATATTTTCCTTCCTATCTAAGAATGTTAATACTTACCACTTTAGGCATTTCCACGTAATCTTCTAACTTAGTTTTGCTGAATTCAAGGCTGATAACGTTCAAAAGTTTATGTTTAACAGGGTTTTTGAAGTATTTGCACCAATCTTTCATGGTCATAACCAAATCTTTTTGCGTCTCGACGTCCATGACATCTAAAAGCCGGTGACTTCCTAGGATGATATTATAAAATGTTTAGAAGTTATTATAAGCTAATTAAGATTTATAAAGTTACGTAAAGTCCTAAAGTTTGGCTATCAGTTTTTAAATATTTTCTAAATAACGGGTCAACCCTTATTCAGACAATTTTTTGGTTCAGGGTTGTCAAGGAACACGGACGTTTGTTAGTTTGTATATGTAAAAAAAATTATATAACATTGCTGAACTGACATACCATAAACTAATTTTTACATGAAGATCACTCTTTAACAATTCAACATCAAAATGATAAAAACTAGATAAGATAAGCCTACACCAGCCCATACTTTGCTGACATTAACGTCGAATATATATAAAATTATAAATATTTACCTACTAAACGCCTAACATCGTCAACGTTAAAATTTTGACTTGGGACCCTAAAAAGTAATTTGATAATTATATATAATAAATAAGAAAACTAAAAGATACCTAAGTCCTAATCCGCTTTTGTCCTTGAATATTAGCGGATATTCGAAACCGTTCTCTTGAATATACTTTACGGTAAAATCTTCCCCTTTTAATTCCCGAATGTAAGTTTCCAGTTCAAATTTTGGGTCGGCTAGTTTTTCCGTTAAATCGTAGCATCTTTTGCCATCTATCTCGTCTTCTCCCATGCCTTCATCGGTATAATGACGGCGCTCTATTTTACGCTTTAAAAAAAATTATAAATGAGAAAATTTGAACTCCATTCAATCTTATCCAATCATTTCATGTTAATTTTATCTACCATAATTCTTCAGAAATATGTTAGGCCATTTTATCTAGAACTTACCCCTCCTATTTTTACCACCCGATAACATAAAGCCAAAATGGGGAGAGAGGCTCTTGAGCCTCGATGAAGCGGAAAATTACCATCCCCTTTCACTATCATTTTTCCTAAAATCTCAATTAAATCGCATAATCGAAATCTCTATATTTCATTAAAATATTAAAATCATAACCAGTCAATTTTAATTTGTTATTTATATCATAAATTAATATTAATATCCTAAACAAATCTTTTTAATTTAACACATCGATTAGCTAAAGTATAATGGCCAAACGCGGAATTTTTTAGAGTGTTTTGAATGGGGTTTACCTTGAGCAAATTTTATGTCATTTATTTGCTCGGCATAAATAAAATGACAAGAAGGAATATAACATGTTAGTATTTATTTATTTTACTCAATATTTTTATAAAATTACATTAAATTTTGGATTGGAAATAGGGTGGTAGAATGGATATAAATATTGTTATAGTTTATAGAAGATATTTTTAACATTATAAAAATTAATTTTTTATTTACCCCATTATTTGAAACGATTGCGTTAAAAATTATCACTTAAATCAAACTATCTTCTTACCCCCCCCCCCTCTAGATTTCAATAGACATTTCTACACGGGAGGTAGGTGGGGGAGAGGGGGGGGGTAAAATGCAAGACCGCCATTAAATTTCGAAAGGGGTGGGAGAGTCGTGAAAACATTATCGCTATAAAAATAAAGAGGATGGGGGGGGGGGGGTTAGGAGTGAGTAAGTTTTCAATTAGACCTGAACATCAAAATTAGGATTTCAAAATTATTATTAATTTTTTAATGTAAATCCTTTAAATCATTTTTTTAAAAACATATTTTATTAAATTTTCTGATTTCAGAAAATGGAGCTATTTCATAAAATTTTGCATATAAAAGTGTTAAGATAAATAAAGAATCAAAATATCTTAATAGTTGTAAAATCATATTGAAAAACTAAGAGGTCAAGGTGGTAATAAGTTTTATTCTTATAAAGAAAAACGAAATGAATATAATTAATTTAAGGTTATTAGGTGAGACAAATTATTATTTAAATGAAAATATTTGTTGTATGAATCCTAATAAAAAAATATTTATAAACCAAAAATTAACTTGTTTTATAGATATATAATTTGAAAAGGTATGCATGTAAAGTTAATATGAATTTTTTCTTTATATTTTTTTATAATCGTTTCATTTAAAAAGTACTCAATATATTATAGGGCATAATATTTAATGGGATTTTCATCTTCGTTTTTTTTATATATTTCAAAAAAAAAATTAAGGTCAAAATAAAAAATATGTAAAAAACGTTTATAAATTTTCCTCATTCATCAATCTTTCTATAATCAATATTTAAAAACGAACTAATAATTAAATAAATACCAAGAGTAGAAGAGAAAAAAAATGTATAATTTTTAAATTCTTAATATAAAATTATAGAATTTAAAATATCGTTTATTTACATAAATTATTTGTAATGCACTTGCATTATAAATTGCAAAAATAATATTAAAATAAAAAAACGCTCATGTTAAATCTAATCTTATAACATTTACATATTTTTTCTTAATTCTTTTTTTTGATATAAATAATTTAAAAAATTAATTTGAACATTTTTAGAAATAAAATTATGATTAATGAAATATAATTTTCTTTATTGCATTCTAAAAATCGCTTTATAATTTTACCCAATAAAAAACTATGCTTATTACTTTCAATATATCGTTAGCATTAATAAGTGAAAATGCTTAATCAAATTAAAAGTCATCCTTACATAATATTCCTAAATATTTTACATGTTTAAAATAATTTGATCAAGTAAAGGTAATGATTTTGAAAAATCAAAAACATATTTTCATGTTGCTTGTTAGGATCTATAAAATATGAATATTAAAATATAATCTATCTCAAGAACCTCAATCCTAAGTATATATAAAAATATATATGTACCAAGCTTCTTCTAATATCCATTTATTAAGCTTGATCTTTTTAATGATTTTAAGCCTATCCAATCGTTTTGCTTCAAAACAAAATGGTACCTTTTTAACGCTAAAATTAAATAATGAAATGAAACAAATTAATTTTTTGAAGATATAAAAAATATTATAAGTTGTAAAATTATATTTTAAAGTTTAAAATATAATTTCATTAATATTAAAAATATTTATTTACAATAAAAATATAAAAATGATAGATTTTTACAGATAAGACAATTAAATAATAAAAATAATATTTTTTTAAATTGAATAAATGCAGAAAAAAATAAAAACGAATATTCTAGGATATCAATGATTATATTAGAGCATATCCTACTTTATTTATTTAATATAATATTATATATATTTATTATGGAGACCTGAATAAATTTAAATCATAAAATTATGCCGTAAATTTCCTAATTAATAAAGAAAAATAATTAAACAATCATATTCTATGTTTAAACTATTTTTGGTTGCAATGAATGTTAAATAATCTTTCTTATTAATGTATATATATTATAAATAGTTCAATTTTGCAGAGCACAAATAATAAATAGGAAAAAGGTGTTGCATTTAGGTTTGTTTGAATATGATTGAATTCGATGTACGTGGAGAAGTTTGGAATATAAATCTGAGAAGGCGAAGATAGTAACACTGATACAGAGTAATGTAACAATCAATATTGGCTTAAGACAAAGACAAGGGTCTAAATTAAATGGAGGTAGACAATATATTGTTCCGTTGGATAAACGATTAACTCGAATATTGAAGTTCTGAGTGTATAAAATTTTTTATAAAATTGGTAATATTACATACATCAAAATGTTAGGATATTAAGAATGACCAGTGTTGATGGACAGTTTTCCCATGATAATTCTTTTCATTCCCTTCTTTAGTGTAAGACGCTCTTTTTGAAAATAAAGCGCTACTGTTATTTCTACAAAAAAAGTAAGGCGCTATTAGCTACATTTTTAGAAAGTAACTTTCGCTATTACCCTACTTTTATATATAAAATCTATATACACAAATAAATAATAAATTAAATTATAAACTAAATAAATTAAAATATAAGCATAATTTTTTTTGATGCATTTTGATAATTATATCGTTTTTATATCATCATCCCCAAGCCTAGAGCGACGAAAAGATATTATAAGCTTTGCCTTACCCAATAATCTAAGCACTTGAAAGCTAACAAGAATGTGTTACGAGATGAGCTACGGCATTAATTTTTTTTAAACTTAACTCCCCTTCCAAATTTTGAGCAGGGGTTGCCCTTTCACCTTTCCGCCAATAAGTTGCAATAACTTTTCAAAAGTGTTAAACTTTAATCCCTTTATCCTTATTATTGTTATACAAATTAAAATTTTTATATAGCCAAATATCTTTTTAATATAATTTTTATAGCCACACAGAAGATAGAGAGATAAAAAGTTTATTTATCAATATTTTTATTTTCATTAATTTTATTTTTATTTTATTTAAAGTATAGATTTTACTACAACAAGTAATGGTGTTAAATTGATCCACTTTTAACAACTTACGATGCTAAACCAAATTTTTAAGCAAAATTTATGTTAAATTGATCCACTTTTAACAACTTTAAAGATGCTAAACCAAATTTTTAAGTGAAATTTATTATTTTAGCTTCGATCGAAATTTAAACTTGAAAGATATACTTTAGCCGCATATTCTTTCAACATTTTGGATTTAGCCGAAATATCCCAATTTTAACAAAATCTAATAAATGTTTATATAAGTAATTAAAATTAACAAATAGGTAGGATGTTTTAAGCTACTACGAAAGAAATAATAACTTGGGATATTTTTTTCCTAGGTTCTTTAGTGTCCTTTTACCAATTAACCATTTTTTTTTATTGATTGACTGATATGTAAAAAAATAAATCATTATGACGATTGTTATTTACTAGAAATTAATAAATTAAGATAGTGTTTAATTATAAATTTGGTCAATAAATAGTATTTATAAGTTAAATTTTATTTCGTTCATTTGTTAATGTATATAACCCTTCGGTCGCGATATTTACCCATGCTATATTATCCAATGAATACATGATATTAATTTTAAAAATCTTATAATAATCAATCATTTATAACCTCAAAATGATTTTAAACTATTTTAGGCCTCCTGATTATTTAGACCAGGAATAATAAATAAATATTAGTTTGTGATAATCAACTAGTTGTTATTTACCATATTCTAAATATCAGACACCCGCATGTATAATTTCAAACTGTACTAAAATGCTACTTGTGAATGAATGAGAAATATATATTTAATAATAATTTTTTTTTATCAGTTAGAATTTTCCTAAAGGGGGAGGGGGAGGTTAAAAATTACTGGGAACTTCGCACCCAGTCCCCATAATGGGCGGGCCTTCGACCCGCCTTTTTCCAGGCCTTCGGCCTGGTTACCTTAGATATATAGTCGTAAAATATTTTTACAAGATAAGCGGTTAATTTTAATAAAAAAATTAAGCCTGGAACAAATACGAAATATATTTTTATTAGTTTATATAAAATATAACAAATTACTTGTATATACATTAATATAAAAGCATGGTAATAATAATTTATTCCAAACAAGTATAAGAAATATATTTATAAAAATAGATATATAGTTTATATTCCTCTATTACATAGAATTAGTTACAAAATACTAGGTAATATTCTACTTTTACAGACATATTTGACAGTTAGATAATATATTACAGTTAATATTTTAACACATTTTACTAATCAATGCTCTTGATAATAAATATAGCAACAATTTGCATTCCATTATTTAGCGTCATCTATTTATTTTAAATAAAAAATGATATTAAAAATTAATCTTTATATTATTCATCCCACAATGTCTTTAAAAGATATTTTCTGATATCCTTATCAATATTTTATAGTTTACTGTAAAATACTAAATTGGTAAAAATTACATTGTCATATGATAATTGATAAAATTAGATATACTGTAAATCTACGATATATAATATTCCACTTTTTGTATAGTGCTTAAATTTTTTTTTTTAAATTTAATTTTATGATTTAATTTTATCAATAGTTTTACAATTATATTTTACTTTTATTAAGATAAATAAATTAAAATTACTCACTTTATAAATAATTATATTTGATATATTATATTATTTAGTATTTTATGGTTCTATTATTAATAATTATAATACTTTTCACTTGTGTCTTAAGACTTATCTTTGGCTTATATTCCATTTCTTAAAAAACATTTTTGGTTCCTTTTTTTATATAAATGCTTTTTTCAAAAATGTATAAATTATGATGAATAGTTTCATAAAAAGATATCAACTTTTACATTCTTTCTTTTAAATTATTGTTTAAGATATATGCATACCTTTTTGGGGGTCAGGGAGTGAGGGGAGGACTAAGGGGGATAATATTTATTAGCTTAAAATGATATTCACAAAAAGTGATAAATTTCTGAAGGGGGTGGGGGAAATTTCCCCTTGCCCCCCCCCTGGCTACGCCTATGAAGTTATATTCCTTAATCTACAAATAAAGTGTATTTTACTTTATCCTACTCACCCTTCTTTGTATGTCTACCTCCTATTATTCTTCAAAAAAAAATTGAAGGTAAATCGCTCCTACCCTCTTTAAAATCTAAAATTAGTATGATTAATTTCTCTAGATAGCATCATGCAATCCCGTCTAATGGATAACTTTGAAAACGAGAGTAAAATACCTAAATAAATTTTGATAATTTTTTTTTTCAGAAATTCTTTCCGATATATACTTCATTCCCGATGCTCGATTTTGCAAAAAGAAAATAAAAAGTATCTGCCAAAGATTCAAATTAAATGTATATGATTTGCTTACAATATATTGATGAAGACATTCCTAATAAAAATTTAAAAAAAATATTTAACTGCGTGGATACTTATATGAGTATAAATATTAATCTATCTTCGATATCGGAATGGATTCCAGATTCATAAATCGAAACACCTAAATGGAATCACATTGGACGAATGAAATCTTAAAACAATACAATCCAAAGAAACAGAAGAAATGAAAGATTTATGGAAATTTTTTAAATTCATATCTAAATATATTTTAATTTGCAATTTAATTTTAGAAATTATTTTGTTTAATATTTATAACATTTATAAATAGTCGCCTGATTTTATATATCACATGTCGAACTCGTAATTTCTTTGTCCAAAAGAAAAAATATAAAAGGGACAAAACTTTATAATTATAATGACTTTTTAACTATTTTATGGATATATATATAGTTGGCGAATAAAATTTAGAGTTGAAAATATATTAATTTTAGTTTTAGAGTTTTGTTGGTAAATTGTGTGAGTTATAGCGTTATTCTAGTAAAGTTTTATACAATGATATACATTGGTTTTATAATATATAATTTTCATAATATCGGTGGTACTAAATTTGTTACATTATTTCTAAAATGTTTTATATGGTGTGTGTTGAAATTAAATAGAGTTTTCCATTAAGTAATAATATCATGATTTATATATTTTATTTGTCATAATTTAAATTTTATTATATGATATATTACATTATCATTTTCCAATCTCAATTACATTTTTTTTTATCTCTTTATATATCTTTTTTTTTAAACAATTAAAAAAATAAATAACTAATACAAATTGATGTATAAAAAAATGTTAATATAAAATTTTCACTGATTAAATTTAAATACAGTGTGAATAAAAAAATGTCACATTAAAATGATATATATAAAAAAAATAATATAAAATTTTGACCGGAAGGTATAATCACTATTATTTAACAGTGTGTATTATTCAATGGTATTATTACGGATTCAATGATGTTATATAATTATGTGAATGAGAAGCTTTAGTATGATGAATAAACATATCAACGATTATATTTCTATTGCATAATCAAAATAAGCAGTATTATAATTATGAAAAAATTAATCCTTTTTGGCCATTATTTATATAGTTCTATTTAAACAGCATTTGGATTTTTTGGTTCTCAACTCTATCTATTTTAAAGTTAGAGTTTATAATCCCAGGCTAATAAAAATTAATTAATTATTAACTTGCAAATTTTTTTTATATTATTCATAATTAATTTTATTTGTTAACGTAATACTCTTATATTAAATAAATTGACAAAACAAGATTATATAAAAACAAAATTTTTTTTTAAAATAACAAAAAAATAAAAAAACAAATTCTTTTTTAATATAAAAAAAATTAATTAACCAGTTTTAGACTGGTCTTATTTAGGACAACGGTCTGGATCAATTTTCTTCAAGTACCTCTGAAATTTGATAATTGGCATGTAGGGTCAGGTTAAAAAATTGTATAAGTAATGGGCGGGCATGAGTGGTTGAATTTAAATATTTTTCGGGCAAAATGGCGAAATAACATAATAGACTTCAATTTATTAAAAAAAATAGTTTCATAATATCTAAAAATACTTTAAATAAATAAAAAGCCAAACCAACCATTAAAATTATTTTTAATCATTGGGCAGGAGAGTGGGTTAAACAAAATTTATAGGTAAATGGGCTAGCAGATAATTTTTTAAATAAATTATAAATGGAAGAGAGGGTCAAAAATATTTCGGAACAACGAGTAAGCGAGTTTGTTGGCTAAAACATGAACATTGTAGACCTCTACTTTTGCCTTTCTTTTTTTCTGAAGTGTAATGAATGAATGAATATTACTTTTATTTTTAGATGCATATGATTTTGACAGATAATTTTCAAATTTTCGTATAGCAATAATGATTCAAGAAGATTTTGATTATGACTATTTAACGAATAACTGTTGATGGTAAATGTAATTTCATTATTTAAATTTATATCCTAAATATCTTATATTTTTTTGATTATAAATTATATATAAATCTTAATTTAAATTCTTAAATCTAATTATTATCATGAGCAATTAATATTATCTATTACTTATAAAATAAATTTAAAATAGTTAATAAAACAATTATCCTAATTTAATATTTGCAAATCTCTAATCAAATCTATTTAATTAAATAATATTTATTAAATTTTATGTTTTTGGAAGGAGGATCTTTATATTCTTATTTTCTACTTCTTTTATTGCTATACTTATTATAAACGTTTATATATGGCTCGGAAGTATCCACGTTTATTTAAATTCATTTCTGGGTTACAATATTTGTTGGTATCCTTGAGAAAAAAAATTGGCATTATGGAGGATGTGTTCTTCATAAAATTCACATACACTCACCTCTGTGGAATCTATGACCAACGTGGTAATAAATAAAAGAAGAAAGTATGGCAATAATGCATGTGATACTTTTTTAATATGTTTTATATAATTGTATTATATATTTATATGCTTAATATTATAGATTCACCTCTATTTTATAGATTTGAAATAGTTATATTATCAATAAATTTATTTAATATTAAAAATTATTTATTGTTTCAGTTAAATAAATTATTAAGTCAACAATATGATAAGAAATATAATGAATGATAAAAGTTGATTGGGAATTAAAAAAAATTTTTTGGTTCAATTTTATACTTATTTAATAAATATAGATCTATATAAGTTAGGAGGTCATAATCATAGTGACCTAAAAATTAACCATATTATACTTAACAATTACATATTATTTCTTTTATAATGATTCAAATATTAAATATTATAAAAAAGGTGACAAATGTGATAAATAATCCAAGATAAAATTAAATAAGCTCGGTTGATAACTTTTTAAAATAACAACTATAATTCAAAATTTGTAGAAAAAAAACATTTTTATAAAAAATAAGTGAAAACCCAAGATTATTTATAAAAAATATAGCCAGAAGCCTACAATAAGTTTTGACCTAAAGGCCTCCACTAAAATTTATGGCAGAAAATCCTGGATATGTTTGTGCACATAATGATTAATGAGGGTAAGTTAGTAAAATTGGAATTTTTCCTATTTAGGAGGGGTAAGATTTGAGTAATATGTTTAAGTAACCATTTTCCTATTTAGGTACCTAAATTTTAAAATTAAAAAATACCCAAATCTCATTATCTTTAAAGCATATTGATTTAATAATACAATATAAATATTGTTGTTTAGTACAGAGACAATCCTATAAATTTTGTAAAATACCTAATTAAATAGGGGTAGTGTTGTTAAACGGCTCGTTTTGAGCCGATTTTTTAAAACGGCTAACTCAATATTTTGGCCAGAAAAATATTGCCTAAGCCCGTAGATTTCGGTAATATATGTATGGACCTTTGTTCCTTCTATAGGCAAAATCTTCAGGCTAGCGTAATATTTTTTCTGGATGAAATATTGAGTTAGCCGTTTTTCAAAATCGGCTCAAAACGAGCCTTTTAACAACACTAAATAGGGGCATGCCATACACTATAATTGAAGGAAAAAATGTGCACTTTCCAAAAATTTTCCAAATATATAAAATGAAATACCTCTTGCATTTTTTTTAAAATATGTCCTTTTAACTAGTGTTTTTGAACTTGGACTAAAAAGGGTTCTGATCTAGTTCTGAATAATTAAAAAAATGGTTCTGGTTCCTAAAATTTTAAAAAATGAGATCTTGGTTCTTATTCTTAAATTTAATATGCAAATACTGTTAAAATGATCAAGAAATATAAACAATGAATTAACCATCTAAAATGATTATTTTTTATATACTATATAGTATGGAGATTTTAAATGTTATATATATTTATTTGCTATTTTCTTACAACCAGCCCTTAATTTAAAAATGGGTTCTGGTTCTTATCAATTTTAAAAGGATTCCAGGTTCTTGTTTCAGTATCTAGATTTGTTCCTGTTCAGAGGATTTATGTTCTAAACTGATTTTATAAATATAATAATATTATTTAATTATTATAAAATAAAAATTAAATAATATTTTCATCAAAAATACATGTGAAAATGAATAAATAAATTTATGCATTTTTAGTGAAGCATAGCATAGCAGAGACTTGCAGAGGTTATAATTTTAGGCCTGACCTGAATTTAAAAAAAAAATTTATTTTCAAACTCAACCCAGGAATTTTCTCAGATTTTATTTTTAAACATTTCATTTTTTTGGCCTGGGCCTTTTTTCCAATTTCGTTATTTTAATTTAGGCTGTATTTGCAAATTGTTCCAAATTGAAAATATGAGTACTCTACGATTATTTAACTAATATTTATATAGTTTAAAAAAATCTTTAAATCTGCCTGGCTTTTATTTTTTTTCAGAGGAGCGGCGCTACACTTTTTCTAAATTTAAAAATCAGGAGCGGGAGCTAGCTTCTTTAGGGCTGGAGTTGAGGAGCGCTGCTCCATCGCTCTTTTAAATTTAATGTATAATAAATTATTTTTAAATATTAAAATACCTATTTATTTGTTAATTAAAATTCAGTAAAAATGAAATTTTATTTTATATAAATTTATGCAATACTAAATGGAGTCGAGTTAGATTGATTTTACTCTAATCAGTTAAAATATTAAACATCAAGTTTTTCTTCCTTTTTATGTTGTAAATTTCTTTGAAAATCTTATAAGTCATATTAATATTAATTTTATAGATATATGATAAAAATAAGTTTTTGATATTATGGATGCAGACATCATAGAAGAAGAAATCGAAATAAAAATATTGCAGATTTTCAAATGTATATAATGATGAAAATATCATTGCGGCTATTATCCATCCTGCATTCAAATTAAGTTGGAAATGGATAAAATAATGCACAAAATAAAACTAAAATATAAATTAATTAATTTTTTAAGAAAACAAACCCTGATGCAAAAATAGCTACTAGTCCACAGGAACTCTGCAATGATTTGGAAGATTTTTTTAGATTCCATAAAATTGAACATCAGTAAGATAATTTATTGGACAAATATTTTTTAAATTATGATATCAAGATTACTATATTTGATAAATTTCCTAAATTAAAAAATATTTTTATAAAATACAATACCCCGTTTCCCTCTAGGGCTCCTGTTGAGCGCCTATTTAGTAGTGCTAAATAGATTTTAGGGGAGATGAATGGATGTTTTTTATATTCAAATTTAGAAAATTTATTACTTTTAAAAGCTAATAAAAGATTATAAATAATTTGTTATACCATTTATTATAAATAATACTTTTAAAAAATATGATTTTGTTTCGCGTACTTCGAGCGGCTATGGAGTAGCACTCTATTACCTAGAGCGGGAGCTAGATCCTTTTAAAAATTTAGTAGTTGGAACGGGAGCTAGCTTCCGAGAAGGTAGGAGCGGGAACTAGCTCCCTTTAAAAAGGAGCATTAACTGATTTTTTTTAAAAAAATTTTTAATCCCTGGAATTGCAGATTTAATGATTTTTTTTGATAGAATAAAGTTATTTTTTTTATATTAATAAACACTTAAGTTTTGGACCTATCAAAAGATTATAGATTAAATGATAAATTATTTTTTTATAATACTCGGCCTAGCCTTTTTTTGGCACAAGCAACTCGAAAACATTTTATTCTTCTAATTATGGCCTAAAAATAGCAAATTTTAATTGCGCCTCAGGCAGTTACAACCCACCAATAGATTTAGGTATGGCTGGGGAAAAATTGTAAAAACTATTCATGTGTTGAATATTATAAAGGCTAGATTTATAGGGCCTGGATATTTTGATCAGGCCCGGCCCAAGCTCACAGTAAAAAAAAATTATAGGCCGGGCCCATATTTAATATTGAAAACCCATAATAAAAGTTTCAAAAATTTTGCCCAGGCGCTCAAGTTCATATTAAAAATGTAATTTATTGTATTCAATGAAAATAAACAATATTTCAATGTATTTAGGCAATCATTTTGTTTGTAATATTAAAATTTATTACCATTAGGGGCCGGCCGCCGACCTTTTTTGGTCACCCCGAAAACGCCGCCGTTTTAGAAAATCTCGCCAGCGCACCGCCGATTTTCATATGGGCTGCGCACGGCCGGCGTAAAAATTACTTTCATATTTTATACCTTTTTATTCTAATAATCAACATCACTATTGTAATTTTTTTAATGTCAATCAGGATTTTGATGAATTTTTATTTTTTATTGTTTTAAAATCAAATTAAAATTATATTGACGTCATTATAGATTCAATCAATCAAAAATCTAAAATTCTAAAAGTTACCATAATTTTACATATTTTTAAAATAGATGCATCTACATTTAATAATTCTATTAATAATTTTAATATCCTAACTCTGGAAAATAAAAAATCCATAGTCTAGAAATTTTTTGGATACTTACACTTAAAAAGAGATAACAAATTTTTTCCATAAATTCTGACAAATTTTCCTACAATTGTTGCTTAGAAAAGGCTATTGGAGACGATGATGATTCAAATAAGCCATTTTCACAGTATATATTTTTTTTAAAAATATTATTTTCTCATATATAGCCAAAATCTTTACTAAATTAAAATATATTTTTTGTAAAATATAACCTAGCTATAAAATTCAAAACTTTTCAATAAACAAATCAAATTGCATATTATTAGAAATTAAATTGGATAATTATATAAATGTATATATACCAAAAGAATTACAAATAAAATTCATTATCGTTTTTTAAACTTTAATCGATTTTAGATCGTTTGATAGGCTTACTTATTATTAGTACTATATTGATAACTTGTAGAAATGAGTTGTTTTTATAATAAATGTCTAAATCTCCTAAAAAGATATAGTTACGATTCCGATATCTCCTACAAGAAAATTAATAATTAATTGTTGAAAGATAAAAGCAAGTTTTCATGCACCTGCCCTGATATTAATTAATATTTATTTTATAAATATTTCGATATTAATTTTTTTCTTAAAATTATTTATGATGTATAAATATAAATGCGCAAATCATTTTAAAGAATCTAAACACTTTAATTATAAAAAGAACCTGCGTAAAGTCATGACGTGGATGACACAATTTCCAAACATTGAGGCGGAACACTATATTTGTGATAAATGTAAACGTTTATCACAAATAAAATATTGAAAATATAAATTCTGATAGCGAATATGTAAATAATATCACCACAGCATCCACATCAATATATACAATCAATAACTTAAAGAAATTAGAATATTTCCTATTGAAAAAAAGAGTAACTGAAAAAAATTTTTCAAAAAAAAGATAGCGAAAATATCAAAAGCTATTCTAGATATATAATTAACAATCCAGAATCGGATAGACAATAATGATATACTTTAAGAAATTAATCCTAATTTATCTAAAAATAAATAATATCAATTGCTTACCATTCTGACTCATAATTGGAGTGCAAATAA